ACGACTCGACGGCACATAACAACAACAACAAACATTTATCTGACCTCTGGTCTTATGAAAATGAATGAAAAGAAATTTATGATCCATGTTCAGGGAAGGGAGGGCACATACTTGAATACCTTACATGTATCAGGCACCTTATTATTGATTATCCAAGTTTTGACAGAAGACTTGGAATGATAGGCATTGTTATTATCATTTTACAAATCATGGAAATGAAAGTATTAAGCAGACTGCTGGATGGTGTGTGGCTGAGGAATGGCAATATCTGCCTCAGAACACTTCTCTTTTTTACTATTTGTACCTCTATATTGAAAGAGTGTTAAATATTATGTAGGAGCCATTATTTAGAAGTCCAGGCTCAAGTTTTGATGTTCTGACACTGATTTATACTCAACAGTTTGTATATAAAGAAGACAAGCTAGGAAAATGTTTAATGAGAGTCTTCAGCGAAATTGACAGTTTACTCTTAGCTCTGAGCCTATAACTCAACAGGTGCTGTTTCTAATGGAAAGGGCCAGGATGAAGTGAAGTAGAAATGGGTTAGTTAATGAGTTACCTACCTTGGAGGACAATGTGACCATACATTGAGACACACAGGATGACTTTCAGTGATAACATCTGCTAGGCTGGGCACAAAAGACTTTGTAAGAGTGAGGCTTTGGAGAACACACTTCTTTGACATTTCAAGGGGCTAAAGTATATATAAACGGATTTCAGTGAAACTCTTGAATCAGAATGGACCAGAAAGAAAGGCCTGGTGATTTACTTCTGAAAATCAACCAATTAGCCAGATCTCTAGACTAGTCTTTGCCTGAGGATGCAGATGCTCAAAATTTCTAAGTTAAAGAGTGGATCCTTCAGCAAAAGGGACATGCTTGTTCTCTGAGAGTACTGGTTTGATCAGGATGGGCAAATCAGAAACTGACTATCAAAAGGTGGGCATAGTGGTGCATGAAGCACAAAGTAGATGGCTTATATGCTTTCAAGAAAGTAGTTTTTAGTAAGATGAGTGTAAGGGAGAGGGGGAAATCCAAAATATAAATGAACAAAATAGAATATAAAGATTGTATAAAACACAATGTACACAGCCCATGACAACTGCCTTGAGAGACCCTTTCTATGAAGATGGCGCCGAAAGTGAAGAAGGAAGCCCCTGCCCCTCCCAAAACTGAAGCCAAAGCAAAGGCATTAAAAGCCAAGAAGGCAGTCCTAAAGGGCATCCACAGCCACAACAAACAAACAAACAAACAAACCCATAAAAAAAAATCTGCACGTCATCCAGCTTCCAGCGGCCTAAAATGCTGAGATCCTGAAGGCAGCCCAAGTATACCAAGAAGAGCACCCGCAGAGAAACAAGCTTGACCACTATGCCATCATCAAGTTTTCCCTGACCACTGAGTCAGCCATAAAGAAGATAGAGGATAACAACACACTTGTGTCCATTGTTGATGTAAAGGTCAACAAGCACGAAATTAAACACACTATAAGGAAGTTTTATGACATTGATGTGGCTAAGGTGAACACCTTGATTAGGCCTGATACAGAGAAGGCCTATGTTTGTCTTGCTTCTGACTATGATGCTTTGAATGTTGCCAACAAAACTAAACTGAGTCCAGCTGGCTAATTATAAATACTAATTTTTTTTCACCATTAAAAACCCCACAATGTACATGCACAAAACACAATAATAAAAATACTACGAGTTCAATTCAGCAAAGTACCAGGATACAAGATCAACATACAAAAATTAGTTGGATTTCTCTACAGTGA